AACAGTTCAGCATTAAATTGTCATTTAATAGCATGTTCCTTAAAAGCTCTCAAAGGCAGGATATTTAACATTAGTTTTTTTTTTTATATTCTTGTGATTACCTTTTTACGTTTTAAATATTGATACTGGGCTAATAAGCCCAGTATCATTTTAAATAAACTAACTAGGCATTGTGATATAAATGAAGAAGGAAACTCCAGACAACAATAGATATGGTTGGACATACTACATCACATGAATTCTTCTGCAACCTTCACAAAGGTCAAGGAAGGCCCCTACCCTTACTGTTTTTGGTTTATGTAATTGGAAATATAAATTTCTGTGTTTTTTGTACAGATATAGCTGTAATACTGCTATGTGTATCTTGTATATATATTTGGAATAAATCAGCACATTTAATTTGGGATGTCCCATGAGCACAGTTTGAATTTATTGCCTTCGAAAACAAAAACCACCATATACTGCGAGTTCACGAGGGAGACACCAGCCTTGGCTGCATTGGTCACTTCATTCAGTGTCTCCAGTCTTTGAACAAAGAAATGACATAGTATGGGCATACGTTCTGCTATTTTCTGTGTGACTTCCACTTGGAAAATCTATACATTTGCTGGTTAGAGAGTGATATGAAGTAGAATATGCTTAAAGAACATCTTCTACAGGGAAAGGGAGATAAAAAAAAGGGGAAGGCAAAATGAGGGGAAGTGTACATGATGGAAGGGGAGAGATTAAATTAATGACAGGGTATGAGATGGAGAGATGAAATAAAATGAAGCAACGAGTATGAGATAAAATGGAGTAATTAAGTGAAGGGAAGGTGATAAAGTTGACGTGTAAGACATATGGTGCTGGGAACAGTAAATATAACATGAAGGTCAATTATCGTCTAAATATTAGAAATCACAGCAAAGACAGTGACCCTTACTTATATAATATGAGATACATGTCTGTGTTACTTTCCTTATCCTATCATACAGTCACGATGAAGCAGAAGCATCGGTAAATTGTGGAGTCCATTTTATTAGTCACATTTCTTCCCCATATTGTCAATAATTCACTAGTTGCCAGTGGTTTTTTGCTAACTCTTGGTACATGACACATGACTCTATGATCATTATAATATATTATTATTGCACAATGTTCTAGTCATATTAGATATTTTATATTTGTGAAATCTATCATGATTATGCAACATTTTGTTTTCATGCTGTCTAAAAGCTTCTAATCCTGACCTTTAATGAGTGATTACCTTGATTGCAAACTGCATGAAAGACATTGCCTTTACAGCCCAACTGTGACAAAATCAAGTGGATTAAAGATTACATTATTCAGATGAAATCACTGTTTTATTATAAAGAGAAATTCTTCAAAACATACTTGAGCTTGCTGTGTGTACTCACTGCCATGTTGCATGATAAGATAATGATATAGGCTGCTAACAAGCCATCTAATAAGGAGTAAGAATTAAGATTTTGCAAGTCTAAATATCAGATAACCATGAAGTATGAGAGATGAGTTCTGTGTAAAGTACGGAGTAATTGATAAGAACTGTGGAGGCAACATGGTTATGTGCCCACTACAGAAAAATTATTCAGTACGCATATGTGAATGTATACATTATGGTGAGTCTACCTGTCATCTAAACAATCATGCATTCATCTTTGAAAATAAAAACTACAAAAATATTATAGATATATACATTGTTACATTACAAAAAAAATTGTTAACATTATTCTAATGTTCTCAGGATATTTTGGTTTCCACTTATATCGTCTTCAATTTGTACAGGAATCATGTATTAGTTGTATATTGCACCTCATTCCCTTTTCTACTTTGTGTTGCTTCTCTTTTAAAGGTGAAAGAATCAGTTGAAGGGTTGCACACATTTAGGAGTTCTGGGAGTTCTGCATATTCTCTCCTAGTTCCTGGGATCCGCAGAAGCTGCATCAGGGCTCTGGTATGTGGTCGCACAAACCCAAGTGCTCAACACCAGGGGGTGTGTGGTTACCCTGCACCAGGCCCTGATTGATCATTTCCACGATGTTGACTCTGATCATCATCTGGCACACAAGGGTCCCGGTTTCCGTACCGCCACCGTGACACCAGCCCTTAGACAAGAGTGGATGGACATGCTTTTGTCCACCTGCCAAATAATGGCATATCTTTACCTCCCCAACTTCCCCATACTCTAATAATAGTGGGGAGAATGAATGAGTAAATGAGACTTATAACAGTGAACAATATTAATGTACTTACCATCAGAAGTCTTTTTTCTTTTAATTTACTAAAACAAAAATGACAGCAAAAAATTAAAAACACCTTTCAATAAAGTGAATCTGTCTTCACTATGTTTCCCACACTATGCTATAGGAGCAAGAGAGCTCTGACAGCCAAGTCTTGTAAGAAGTAATCCTTCTCCATAGACTTGACTGTTAGAATGCTCAGGTTTGGTGAGATGAAGTAATTTTATTGCAGCGTATTTTACATTTTTCTGCCTTTTTTTTAATTAGTGGGTGGGTGTCTGTGGGAGGACACTTAGTCCTTCATTCTGAATACGAATATTAGGTTCCCTACAGGCCACCAATAAGTGCAGAGTTGGACTCCAGGTCCTTCACCATGAAGAGTAATAGCCTCCACCCGATTACCACAGGTGGGTGTGAAAGCAACATAAGAAAGTTCCCCCATTTATTTTGTTAACTAGCCCCCACCTGATGCCTTTCTAGTGACTGTTCAGCAATGGCTGCCCAGGTTGCTAGTTTTCTAAGTCCATCTCTACCTGATTTTGCATTGCCTCAAACATTGGAGACGTTGTAACATCATTTTTCCAGGACATACTTGAAAACAAGAGAAATCTCAATGTCTCCATCCTGGTAAAATATTTTATAAATAAATACATTTGCAACCAGTACCACAAGTAGATCACTCGCTTATTGCCACCACCAACCTTTCCATTAGCAGCAGTCAGCTAAGTGCTAGTGTAGAGGATAGTGTTGCAAATAATACCACTGCCGCTGACCATAATCTATCTGCATCTCCAGCAGTCACAAGGCAGAGTTGCACAGTGTGACTATGCCTACTACTTCAGCAGATGCAAATTGCCTTTAAATCTTTTTTCTAGATTTCTAAAAGTATTCTAACATTTGGTAGTGGTGGTTGTTTTTTAATGCACTTAATGGTAGTTGTTTTACTCTGCCTGGCTGAGTCTCTTGGTATGGTTATGACTGCTACCTTCACAGATGCAGTTGGTATAAGCTCACAGCACAGTTTTTTTTTCCCACTGAAGGACTGTCACACTGTCTCAGACTTGCTGTGTGGGGAAGCTTTGTTCTTCTCTTGGTGGAACAGATGAGTGGGTTATCAATTCTACTTACTTCTTATTACTTCTTCCTTTAATTTTTTGAAAACCCCCTTTTTTAAACTAGAATTACTACAGCTGCTATTTTCCATTTTATTTCATTAATTTACAAGATTGCAAAAGGAAAAACAATCATTATAAAACAAAGTTCTTACTTAATACTTTTTTTAATTCAGATATAATGATATAATTATGATAACTCACAATTTGCATTGCAAATATTCCAGTTATTGCTTAGCCATTAGACTTCGCCAGCGTTTTCCAAAGGGGTCCCGCTATAATTTCAGCAAGCAAAATGGCCACCGTGATTTGGCCCGGTCGGGTACAGCTGATAATTGAGGCGAATGGTGAGAGAGCACTCTCCCCTGCTCAGCTCCCTCACGTGCACCGCAGTGATGCTGGAGTCGGAATATGACTTCACTCTGGCCCTGGCATCGTTAAGAGGCGTGCGAGTGAGCTGAGCAGGAAGATCACTGCTCCTTCACTGCCAGCACTGTATGCCTGCACCCCAGCTGCTCAGCCCAGCAGCCCCTTTGGAACCCAGGGAAATAGAGACTCCATGCCAGCACTCCCAAAGGTAGGGAGGCTGGGTGGAGTGAAATTTAAAAAAAAAATACATTGTGTGTGAGTGTCTGTTAAGGAGTTTGTATGTGTGTTTGTCAGTGATTGTGTGTGTATGTGTGTTTGTCACTGAGAGTGTATGTGTGTTTGTCAGTAAGTGTGTGTGTGTGTGTGTGCTTGCCAGTGAGTGTGTATGTGTGTTTGTCAGTGAGAATGTATGTGTGCTTGTCTGTGAGAGTGTATATGTGTTTGTATGCGTGTCTGTCAAAGAGTAAGTGTGTTTGTCAGTGAGAGTGTATGTGTGTCTGTAAAATAGTATGTGTGTCTGAGTGTGTGCCGGTGTGTGTATATGTGTGTCAAGGTGTGTGTGTGTGTCACTGTGTGTATCTGAGTGTGTGTGTGTATGTTAGTATGTGTGTATTGGTGTGTGTGTGTGTATGTGCCAGCTTGTATCTGTGTGTCAAGGTGTGTATCTTTGTGTCTGTGTGCATATGTCAGTGTATATATGAATGTGTGTATGTGTCAATCTTTGTATATGTGTAGCATACGTACAGCAATCATATGGGCATAGATCCCAGCAATTAAACACTTATATGTGCGTACATCCCAGCAATCAAACCCCAACACAACATGCAAACACAGTCCTGCAAACACAAACATGACATTTGGATTCAAATTTCTAATTTATATACATAGAAACATAGAATATGACAGCAGATAAGAACCATTTGGCCCATCTAGTCTGCCCAATTTTCTAAATACTTTCATTAGTCCCTGGCCTTATCTTATAGTTAGGATAGCCTTATGCCTATCCCATGCATGCTTAAACTCCTTTACTGTGTTAACCTCTACCACTTCAGCTGGAAGGCTATTCCATGCATCCACTACCCTCTCAGTAAAGTAATACTTCCTGATATTATTTTTAAACCTTTGTCCCTCTAATTTAAGACTATGTCCTCTTGTTGTGGTAGTTTTTCTTCTTTTAAATATAGTCTCCTCGTTTACTGTGTTGATTCCCTTTATATATTTAAATGTTTCTATCATATCCCCCGTCTCGTCTTTCCTTCAAGCTATACATGATACATTCCTTAAACCTTTCCTTGTAAGTTTTATCCTGCAATCCATGAACCAGTTTAGTAGCCCTTCTCTTAACTCTCTCTCTCTCACTCAAACACTCAAACACATCCTTCACTCAAACACTAATACTACACACAAATGTACATCCACATTTAAAAGCTAACACTATAACCAAGCACACCCTTGCACGCAAATGCAAACATTACAGCACTCTACTCTCTCCTCCAGCTCTGCCTCACTCCCACCTTATTTGATAGCAAATTCCTGTCCTATTGTTTTTTACACCCCACCTCCTATAGAATGTAAGCTCGTTTGAGCACGGTCCTCTCCATCCTATCGTTCCTGTAAGTTTTTTGGAATTGTCCTATTTATAGTTAAAGGCCCCCTCTCATAATATTGTAAAGCGCTACGGAATCTGCTGGTGCTATATAAATGGCAATAATAGTAATAATAATAATTACATACAAACACACCCCTACACGCAAATGCAAACATTACATACAAACACACCCCTGTATCAAAATGCTAACATTATAAACAAACACCAACTGTACACACAAAAGCACACCTGCTCCTAAGTACGACTATCTGTTTACTATGTGCGCTACTGCGCAAAACAATTTTGGGGGTTCCACGTTGTTAGCGCATTATGTCAAAGGGTTCCACTGGAAAAAATAATTGGGAACCCCTGGGCTAGGTAATGTTGTAATAGTTTTTGCATTGCAGTACACTAACTAAATATGTTTTCCTGAAAAAAAAACACATTAAAATTTGTCTAAACTAAAAAACTACTTGTACGAAACCTGGTTCGTCACAACCAAAAAAAACCCCCCAAAAAATAACCAATTCAGACAAATCAAACAAATGTATTTTGCCATGCACAAGTCTACGAAATACCAGCCAGCAAGTCCTGGACAAAATCTGCCCACACTCCAAGTTTACACTGGAGGCTTTAAACCCAGATCCTCCGACTCACCGAGGCAAAACCCAGATATTTTCTAGTACTGTATGTCAGTGTCGATTCTCATCAAAGCAAGTTAAGAAAAAACAAACAAATACAATTCTGCGAGAACTAATTGTCCACTATGTCTTAATAATAATAATTATACCACCAGAACAAAGATTGATAAAACAAAATAAATATTAATTGTGCCAATGTTTTATTGTATTATTTACATAAACATGATAAGGTATTTGTATAATTTTTATGGTGGTGTACTTCCTTCCTGCTATATGATAGATCCTATATTAAGATATGTGCATCCTTCTTATACTCGACAGCAATTTCTCAATAGATCTATGTAAAATTAGTGTTCAGTGACCAGTATTAAATGTAACTGTCACAATAGAACTTTGCTCCTTTCTGCTCTCTTTCATATTCATTTAAGCCACTCTTGTTTTGTTTTATAATTGTCACTTCTGAACCCCTCCCTCTGCTTTATGACATAAGTGTTCTAATTATAATTCCAACACACATATGTTGTACATCTTTGTCCATTTATCAGTTTGTTCTTTCTTATCTTTTTTCCATTTTCAATGACACAGTTGTTTGAGAGTGCAATTAAGATAACAAAAGCCAGAAGTATGCAGCTTTTATAATGCTATTCTAAGGTTCGACATGTTTAAGGCCAGGGTTCAAGTTGGGTTACCAAAGCTCCCAGCAAATGTTTTGAATTTTGCAAATGCTACATATTTTGGAAATAGCTTTACATTTTGCTCTATAGAAAACTAAAACAATACAAATTAAACAAAAAACTCAGTTTCCTTTTGAAATACATTTTACAAACTACTAAAACAGATTAAATTGAGAAGTGAAAAGAGTTGAAAAACCCCCCCAAAAGTCTACCTTTAAAATTGAATATATGTTTATTTTATTTTTTTAAACATTTTTTAAATACAGAATATATCAAGCGTACACAAATTTTAGCTTTAACAAAATCAATTAAGAAATTTCCAAGACTAATTATGCATTTTATAATAATCACACACAATATACCATGTGGATAGACACTTACTGTAACTGCCACCTCAATTAAGGGTGCTATTCCAAAACGGTACTCCCTCAAATACCAATACAATAATTATTCAAAAATCAAGGAATGCACACCAACTGATACAACAGTATCTATCCATATATATATTTATTAATTACAATACAAGTATAAACAATACATACAATATACAACAGTGACCACATAGGCTAAACAACTAAACAGGTATATTTACCAAATTCCACAAGCCTATCTGGGCAGAAACACGAGTCATAAACAATCCCCCAACGTTTCGGCTCCTCCTGGTAGCCTTTATCAAGGGTAGCTATGAATAATAATCACATCATAATGTGGTGGCTTACAAATATTTCGAGTTACCAAAACCTTTAGCTATTTAAATCCTAAATTTGTAAATTTGTGTGTCATGTTTTCCACTTAAATAAAAATGCATGTTTGTGTTTTTCAGGGTCAGATTAATAATGAGGACACTAATCTTTGCAAAACATTTCTCTTGATGGGCAGTGATAGGCTGAAATTCTCAGCTCGAAACCCAAATCATTGTTGCCCAAAGCTCCGCTATTAGTGCCATGATAGTGCCATGATGGGAGTATGGTTGTCATGAAGAGAAATATGGGTTTAAACTGTTCAAAAAAGTTTTTACCCATGAGGTAAGATGGTGCCAGGACTTAAAAAAAGGCAAAGGGGCAAGACAGAAATTAGGGGTAAAAATGTTTGAAAACAGTTGGTTTACTACAGTGTGAGAACCAGCATACGATCTGACATTAGAGCTATTTGTCTTTTGAATTCTCCTGTATTGGAAGGAATAACATGATAAAAGCATATCTCGCACCTAATATCATTTTTTTTATTCAGAATAATTCCAATGCAAGTATCAGAATATGTGTTGGATAAATTAAACAAAATACTATTAGCTTTTTTATGGAAGGGTCAAAAACCCCAAATCACACAAAAGATTATAAAGAGAGATGTCTCTCAATTGGGATTAAACTTTCCAGATCTGGTGTTAACTCACGATATGACAATGTTCACCCACACTCTAGCAGCTGCATTAAAAAAAAACAAAAAACAAAGTAAGGGATAGTTTCATTACGAGAAATATTATCTAAAAGGACATAATCCATTTCTCATATTATGGTTACATCCCCAAAATAATAAATTCCTAAACCTGTATAATAGAATCCTGAGAGATGCAATAAAAACTGGGACACAAATCAGAGATAGGTTGGGTATTGGGCATAATTTAATTTATTAGCTTAAATATACAAGATCTGGATGTTACTGGATGGATTGGGAAAAAAATATTTACGCTTGCAGATATACAGTTTAATATGGGTACTCAAACATTTGGACGGTTAAGAGAAGGATATGGTCTTGCAACAGGAAAGACGCTGCCTGGATAGTTCACTGGACCTTATATATCGCTCCATTTATGACAGTATTCAATATATGATAAGAGGGAAGAAAAAGAACGAGGATATGTATAGTTTTCTTTAGAAGTTTATCCCCTCTTTAAATGGGGTTGATAGGGAACTGAAGTTAGGATCTCAGTAGTTTGTTAAATTTATCTGAACCAAGTGTGAATGAATGTATGGAAGAATGAATGCAGGAAACATTTACTAAGATAACTGAACAATAGAAGGTAATAAATGTATAATAAGTACTCGAAAGGAGATTTAAGGACACACTTTACTATAGAAATTCTTGGGACGGTTATAAAATGTTGTGTCATGTGGTGAAACTGAAAATTATTATCTAAATGTCAACATTTCTCATTTTTAATGTATGTTATTTTCATTCTGTACTGTATTATCGTTTTATAAGAGAAAAAGAGAAACTCAATAAAATATTTATATAAAAAAAAAGATATTTGTCTTGTATTGCCTTGTTCTCATATACGGGTTTGGAGTGGAGAATGGGTTAATAAACAAGCTGTCATACATTTCTATGCATTTCCTTTTTAAATGGCCTAATTTCAGTTCATGACTCTCTATTTTCAGACAAGAGAAATTCAACAAACCATTTTCTATTTTAGGTATAATTTCCTCAATTATTACTCCTTGGGCTCTTACAGAAAATTATAAATTCATGAAGGACTTTGCTTAACCCCTTAATGACCAGCTGTATTTTTCTCCTGCATAGTGATCTGGGTCCTAAAGACCTTTTTTAACATTGGTAACTACCGTCACTAAATGACCTCTTAATATCAAATAGTTATCATGACAGAGACCATTATTGGACCTTAAAAGGTTAAAATGAGGGGGGGAAAGCATTCTGAAAAAATAAAATTTTTATTCAATTTATATATATACAATTAAAAAAGTCAGGACATAATATCAATCATCTGTTCCTTAGGAAGTCTTAAAATTAGGTGAATACAGACTCAGATGAACAACAACACATGACATATTTCAACATCTTGATTTATTGAACAAAATTAAAGCCAAAAAAAGGCCTGTGTGAAAAACTAAGTACTCCTTATGATTCAATAGCTTGCAGAACCACCTTTAGCAGCAATTACTTGAAGTTTTTGTTTTCTGTATGAATTCAGAGCCAGACTGGCTTACCGGGATACCGGGAAATTTCCCAGTAGGCCGCCTGCCCTGGGGCCGCTGTGAGTGGCAGCTACGATCAGCCACGGCCGAACGCGTGCTTCTGTGACCAACCATGGTCACAAGAGCTCAAAGCGTTTGTCCGCGCCAGCCGGCGGATATGCGCATACAGTGCGTGATGTCAGTGGCGTACACATGACCCCTGGGGCCCCGGTGCAAAAATTGATCCGTGGGCCCCCCCGTGCTTACCCGGCGCGGACGGGGTCGCAACACATGGTGGCGGGCACCTGGTCGCAGGGGTTGCAGGGCTGCGACCCCGCGACCGCGGTATGCACACACACTTAAAGGACCACTACAGACACCCAGATCACATCAGCTCAATGAAGTGGTCTGGGTGCCAGGTCCCTCTAGTTTTAACCCTGCAGCTGAAAACATAGCTGTTGACAGCTGCTAGAGGAGCTTCCGCGATTCTCACTGTGAAAATCACAGTGAGAAGACACTGAATGTCCATAGGAAAGCATTGAGTAATGCTTTCCTATGGGCGGTTTAAATGCGTGCGCGCCTCTTGCCGCGCATGTGCATTCGGAGCTGAGAGGCGGACACTGGGGAGTCCGACGCTGGAGAAAGGTAAATGCGGAAGACACACACACACACTCTCACGAACAGACGCATACACACTAGCTAACAGACACACACATTTACTGTCAGAGACACACTCAGCGACAGACATACATACACACTCACTTACAAAACATACACTTTCACTGACAAACACACACTCACTAACAGACATCAAACACACTCAGTAACAGACACACACAGT